TAGGGTTTTTAGGATTTAGGGTTTTTAGGGTTTTTAGGGTTTAGGGTTTAGGGTTTCAGGGTTTTAGGGTTTTTAGGATTTAGGGCTTTTAGGGTTTAGGGTTTAGGGTTTAGGGCCTGCTTTCGTGGCAGGTGGGACTTTCCGAAGATTAGGGTACCTTACTTTGGTGTCCTTATAATAAGGATCCTACTATTTAGGGTACTATACTAGGGTCCCTCTTTTCGGAAACCCCCAGGTGCTGATTCCATATCCTAATCTTGAGATTTATAGAGACGCCCTACAAACCCTAAACCCCCCTACAAACCCTAAACCCTAAACCCTACAAAACCTACAAACCCTAAACCCATTGAGATGCATAGAGACCCCTACAGAAAGTAGGCTTTGGTAGGTTCAGTTAGCATGGAGGGCCGGGGTTCGGGTTTTAAGGTTCTAAGTCCTCCGTTTCGGGGTTTAGGGCCTTTAGGGTTTAGGGTTCAGGGGTTTGGGGGTTTAGGGGTTTAGGGGGTTTAGGGTTAGGGCCTTTAGGGGTTATAGGGTTTAGGGGTCAGGGGTTCAGGGGTTTAGGGGTTTGGGGTTTAGGGGTTTAGGGTTTAGGGGTTTAGGGATCTAGGGGTTAGGCTTTAGGGGTTTATAGGGTTTAGGGTTTAGGGAGCTTCGTCTTGCGTCGGTACCTGAGACAACAAGTCCTCAAGTCCTAAGATCAGGCCTGAGAAATGAATTACTTTTAAGGTTCCTTAGGGGCATTAACTTACCTATATGATTCCTTAGGGCCGTTAACTTACCTATATGGTTCCTTAGTCATTAACTTGGTTATACGACTTATAATGTATACCCCAAGGCCCATTCCAATCATTTTGGCCCTGACGAGTATGAGTTCCTCATATGCACCGCTGGAGGCGCTGCGAATGCACTTTCCGCATAACGGGGGGATCTGAACAATTACTGAATTATTTGCAAGTCTATCCTCTTGAGCACCATCTCTGTATAATACATCTACGATGTGGATACGGCTCTCCTCTAGCCTGTCCTTGTCTCAATGCGTCAGCTCGTAAGACTACCACGGGGTGCTACATGCTTAAGCCGTAAGTTGTGATACCGGGCATCGCTGAATGCTAGAGACTACTTAAATTCCAAGTCCGCGCACTTCTCCTTCTCCTGAACCCCTAAACCCTAAACCCTAAAACCCTAACACCCTGAACCCTAAAATCCTAAAGCCGTAACCCTTAGGTCCTAAATGCTCAAAAACTACAGCCCACAAGCGCTAGAAAGACTGTTGCTACCCCAGACCCTGGGGAGGATCCAAAAAGTAGATCCCTAAAGGGGGGTTCCTATAAAGTGCCCTTTAGTAGTTAGGGTCCCAAATTAAACCCTAAACCCTAAACCACTTTCTAGATCCTCCCGGGGCTCTGGGACTAGGATTCTTCGGCTCCTACAAGGACGAGGAGTATGCCAAGTGGCTGCACGCAGATGTGGGGGAGTTCAGGGTTTAGGGTTTAGGGCTTAAGGGTTTAGGGCTTAGGGTTTAGGGCTTAAGGTTTAAGGGTTTAGGGCTTCGGGCTTAGGGTTTAGGGGTTTAGGGGTTATTTAGGGCTTATGCTTTAGGGTTTAGGGTTTAGGGGTTTAGGGTTTAGGGTTTCAGGTTAATCAAGGGACTAAAGGAGAGACCCTTAAAGGGACCCTTGGAATTATATGGGGGCTTTATGAGACTATATGAGGGGTATATAAGGGTTATATAGGGTATTCGGATTCGAGGTCCCTTCCAGGGGTCTCTCCAAGCTAAGGGCGCTCCAGTCAAGCCCAAACCATAAGCCGCAAGCCCTAAACGCGCAACCCCTAAACCTCTGAACCCCAAACCCCCAAGCCCTTAAACCTTAATCCCCACACCCTTAAACCCTACCCTGAACCCCTAATGTCTATTGTTAGGGTTAGGGCCTTCGAGTTCAGGGTTTGGGGGTTGCAGGGTACCACAGTGCAGGCTTAGGTTGGGGTGAGTAGGTAACCTTTGACCTTCTGGGCTTGTATATCCCTACTAGAATTTCGCAACCCTAAACCCTAAACCCTTTTGTTGAGTTTAGGGTTTAGGGTATAACCGTATACTATAATTTCACAACCCTAAACCCTAAACCCCTTTTTTGGGGGCTAGGGTATACTCAGCCCCAAAAGTCAGGGGTCGTGTTCAGACGCAGGCTGAAGCGTAGGAGAAGGGCTACCCTTAACTTCCAGGGGTTGCCGGAGCACGATAGCCTTCAGAATTACCAGCAGTATTTTGGGGTATCCTTATTATAACTATAGTATAGTAGACCCCCACAAACCCTAAAACCCTGATTCTAACTATTCAGGCCCCTACCATACCCCCCCAAACCCCAAACCCTAAACCCTAAAACCCTATTCTAGCTCTTAGTAGGGAATGGAGGAATGGGCTTTTGGGACTACTATAGGGGACCTTAAGGGACTATCATAGGGATCCAACCCCCCCTAAACCCTACACCCCAAAATCCTAAACCCTAAAACCCTAAACTAAACCCCAAACCGTAAACCCATTCCCTACTAAGAACCAGGGAGTCTTTCAGGGTGTAGGCCAAACGCTCCTAGGTCCCGACTCTGAGGCAGAAGGGGTGGAGCTTTAGGGCCCTTTTCTTGGGGGTTTAGGGTTTGGGGTTTAGGACTCTTTTCTTTGGGTTTAGGGTCTTGGGGTTTTTAGAACTTTAGGGTTTGAGGTTTAGGGTTTAGGGGTTTAGGATTTTAGGGTTTAGGGCTTTGGGTTTAGGGTACATGGAGAAAGGCTTGCGCCCGAAAAGGAGCCTGAATTGCTGTTGATGATATAAATCCTGCATGACCTTAATGGAATTATGGTACATTCCTTATTATGGGTAATGCAGGGTTTATATCATCAACTGTATCACCCCGTTTGCGACAAGCTGCTCAAGGGTTCGCGGGTGTTGGCATAAAGCTGCAGCCCCTTAATTATCTTGCCAATGTGTAGGCTTCAACACGGTTTAGGGTTTTTAGGGTTTAGGGCCGTTTAGGGTTTAGGGTTTAGGGTAGCCACAAGCAGTGTCTCTAAACCTATTTAGCCCACCACAGGGGAATCTGCCAAAAGGAGTGCAAGCATGCGCGAGTAGACTGCAAAGCTAACCCGTACAAAGCCCTCAGAAACCATCACAGGGAACCGTCTTAAAGCCTGCGACAAGTTTTATAAACCTACTATAACTTAAAAGGACCCTTGTAGTGGCTAGGGTATGTATACTTTCTAAGACTATACTAGACTAGACTTGACTTGACCGGACTAGACTATAGAATGCTAGACTGTTCTATGCCGTACCATGCAATATTCGACTCTACGATACGATTATATGTGATATTGCCACAACAAAACTATTCTTTATATTGCTATAGCATAATTAGTATATTATGCCACACCAAGTATAACCCTAACCCTCCAGGTACCTTCTAAAAAGGGCCCTAGGGGCTCTAGTACCCTATATAGCACCCTAAACCCTAAACCCCTAAACCCCTAGACCCTATACCTGGGGGGTTAGGGTAAAAGCTTCAGGTGTACATACTATACTCTACTCTTCTATACCATACTATACTATGTTTTACCATACTATCCATACCATACTATACTAGACTAGACTAGACTAGACTATACTATACTCTAACAAAATTAGTATGTTTATGCTATACCAAGTATAAAATCCCAAAAAACCCTAGACCCTAAACCCTTAAAAGCTTCAGGTGTACATGCTGTTGGAGCTGGCCCCCGGCGGCCACTTGTACCAGCTCTTGTGCGACAAGCCCCAGGCAGGTTGTTCTCCATTTTTTCGGGCAGGGTAGGTGGTTCAGTCAGTTTTGCATGGAGCGCAGACCTGCCGCACCCGAAGACATCTGAATCACCCGCAGAGGGTGCCGTGCTGCTTGAAGGCAGATCGCACATGCCTGAAGAAACCTTTTGGCTGAAAGGTTTTTTTGCTAGAGGCGTGCCGCGCGGCACAAGTCAGTACCTCTGCTTGCCACAATGATGGCGCAGAGAGTGGCGGCGATGTTCGACGAGCTTCGCGATCAAGTGGTCGCAATGGTCCAGGAGCATGAGCAACAAGGAAGCCAGGTGACGGAGCTGCAGGGAGAGCTGGCTGCCCAGACACAGCGGGTGGAAGCCCTGGAGGCAGAGCTGCAGGGTCTGAGGCAGTTGTTGGGGCAAGATGCAGAGGAGAGCGAGGCGGAGACGTGCACACCGCCATCTCCAAACATGGTGGACTCTCCCTCTTCGGGTTCCGACGAAGAGATGGAGNNGCCCCAAGCCCACGCACTGGAGGTGCGTGTGGCGCCCCGGCATGGACGTCAGGAGCGAGCGTACGGTGCAGCGCAAGTCCGTGGTGGGCTTCCTGAGGTGTGGAGAATGCTTCGACGTGATCCAAGAGTGGCAAGGCAGAGAGGGCTCTTCCTCAAGCTTGCCGGTGACAAGGGTTGGGTCTTCGACAAGACCCGCACCGGCACCTTCTGCGTGCCAGTGGGAAGCGAGTGGCAGGACTGGCGAGGTCCTGAGGGCCACAAGGCCTGCACGGATCACCAGCACGGATCCTGGAACAACGCCCCCAGCGGGAATGGACGCGATCGCGGAGGCGACAAGTGGAAGTGGGCATGCGATCACAATGACCGTGGTTGGGGGAGCAGCAAAGAGTCCAGCTCTTCTTGGAAAGGCCAAGAAGACAACCGGGCATGGCATGAGAAAGATCGTGATGGTTGGGGCAGCAAAGAGTGGAAGTCTTGGGGGTACCCAAGACTTCCACTCTTTGCCATCACGATCTTTCTCATGCCATGCCCGGTTGTCTTCTTGCAACGGCCAGAACAAGACGGAGTCACACAAGAATTCGTGGTGATGCTGCGGCCTTCCCATCAAATCCTGATGTTCCGACTTGAGCTCTGTGCGTAGTCTACAGTGAACCTAGAAAGTTGGAACATAGTTTAAGGACGATTAGTGCTGGGATTCCTTATGCTGTACCTCTAAGGGCAAGAGGAAACTAATGATCCAACTTTTCGGCTTCTACCACAAGCCCAAGAGAGAGCTGTGCTTCTTTGTCACCATCTCACTTAGAGGATCATGGGACTTACTAAGTAAGGTTGTAAGTACCCTAATTGGGATTATAAGTAACAGAGGCAGGCTATGCTTGGCACCATGAACACCAGTATCCAGGGAGCCAGCAACCAGAGAACAAGTCTTGCGGGTCTACAACGGCCAGAACAAGACGGAGTCGCGCAATCCTTAGGGGCTGAGTAGGTAACCTTTAACCTTTTTGGGCTTGTAGAATCCTACTATAATAACTCAAAGGTTAACCTTTTTTGGGCCAAGATACTCAGCCCCTAGGAGTCTTGGGGGTCTAGAACGGCCAGAACAAGACGGAGTCGCGCAATCGCTTTTTGGTGATGTCGCAGCCTTCCACTCAAATCCTCATGTTCTGGTTTAAGCACCCTTTAGGGTTTAGGGACATCCTCGGGTGTGTAGTCTAAGCCAAAGACAGAGCTGCGACTCATTGACACAGGTTTCACCCGTCTCTGCAGCGAACCGCAAGTTCCGTTGGAAATCAGCAATAAAGGATCTTGCGTGAAGTGTCTGAGGAGTTGCTGTAGGGCCTTGGAAGAGTGTACATGCTGTCTGCTTTCGCCTGTCTTATTCTTCATGGAGATCATCTACTACATGGCCAAGGAATCACAAATTAGGGGAAAACAAACAAACAAACACACACACACACACCAAGGCATCACGGCTTGCTATCCTTGGAACACAGCAGCACAGTACACAGAATGCACCCATATCAGCTCATATCACATAGACAAGGGCCTATTGTCTATCGTGATTCTGCCAGATATCACAGTGGAGGCTCCAAGCTTTGGCAGGAAGACCAAGCTGGTCGAGCCAGGGCACTCTGAATTACCCAAAACCCCAAACCCTAGCCCCAAAGCCCTAAACCCCTAAACCCCCAAACCCTAAACCCCTAAACGCCTAAACCCTAAACCCAATCTTGTAAAACGACATCCAAGGTGAGCCTCGAAGGCCCTAAGGGGAAAAAATGGTAGCCCCCAAAAGCCTAGCAACCTACCTCGGGGGCTGAGCGGGTAACCCTAAACCTTTTTTGTTATTTGGGATGATATAACCTTATTTATTTGGGCTTATATATAATCCTACTCTAGTCTAAAAGGTTTAACCATGTTTGGGCTAAGGTACTCAGCCCCCTAAGCTATATTTTTTCGCCCCGAGAAGATCCAGTCCCAGTGAAAACCCTGCAATTCCCGTTTAGCACTGCTTATACAACACCATAAAACGCCGAAGAGGCTAGGAAAACCTTATGGGAAAACTCTATAGCAACCCTTGTAAATGCTTCAAAACCGGTTTTCGGAAGCGCGTGCTTGCAACTGCCAGGTGCTGCTTGCAGATCGCACATGCCTGAAAAAGCCTTTTGGCTGACAGTTTCTTTTGCTAGAGGCGTGCCCGTGCGGCACAAGTCAGTACCTCTGCTTGCCACAATGATGGCGCAGAGAGTGGCGGCGATGTTCGACGAGCTTCGCGATCAAGTGGTCGCCATGCTCCAGGAGCATGAGCAACAAGGAAGCCAGGTGACGGAGCTGCAGGGACAGCTGGCTGCCCAGACACAGCGGGTGGAAGCCCTGGAGGCAGAGCTGCAGGGTCTGAGGCAGTTGTTGGGGCA